TAAGAAAAAGAAAAGAAAAAGAAAGAAATCAAAGAGAAAGCTAAAAGTGCAAGAAAGAAAAGAAAGTAAAAGAAAAATAGAAGAGAAAGAAGATGCAAACAAGTGGCCTCTGATCTTCTTTACAACAGTTTTAAGTACAATTATGAACCATAAGTTCATTTTTCACTCAAAAAGTCCATAAGGGGTTTCCAGTCAGCAATAAACGTAGATATTGTCTTTTCTCTGATCAAAGAAGTCAATTTAGCCATCTCAGCAAGTTCCATCACCTTCACCAGCCGTACCTCAATTGTGGGTAGTGCTGAATCTTTCCATCTTTGTGCGCACAATAATCTTGCTGCAGTTATCATAATGAGCTTCTTTTGAGATTCATGGCTACTGCCTAAAGTTGCTTCACAAGTCTGTGTGCTCTCTTACACATCTTCATCTCTTTGTTGCCTAGATTGAATAGCTCTGACTTAAATCTTAATTGTTGCATCTGCATAGTAGTATAAATAAAGAAGGGTGATGTTTCTTCCAATCCTCCAGGCAGGAATTTGTGGATGCCTATGTGAACTATGTCTTCAACCTTTCGGTGCATGAGTGGTACACTGCTTTCTCAAGTGGCTTTCTTAAGGTGTGTGGTGGGAAGGTTCTTGAACTCTTCCAGCCTACCGAGCTAAGGGCCATGATCGTGGGAAGTAGCAACTACAACTGGAAGGAACTGGAGGAGGTTAGTGGGCACCCAGCTGACTTTTTTTCACTTTTGGGAATTTAGAAATTAATGTTTGCAGCCATGATCTGTAGGAAGATATTCAGGACAGGAAAATTCTCTTCTTCTGAAAATCTGCCAATTTAATCTGACCATGATTGTGTTAAAACATCTTAAGACCACCTCCATTCTTCATTTTGTCACAGCACTCATAGTTTCTTTTTAAGTATGAGTACTGCGACAAAATGACAAATCGAGATGCTCTTAAGATGTGTTATCACTATTTCTTTTTAATAAAGTATGAGGTTTCCAGTACATTTTAACCTGAAACCTAGTTTTGACTTGTTCCATTGGCAACCCCTCTTTACAGCAGAATGTTGTGGATTTCAGTTTGATACAGATATTCATATGGAGCACATTGAACCATTTGGAGTCCAACATCTGGGCTTCCAACTATTTTTGTGTAAGCCCAGATGGGAAGTAAGGGGCTGGCCTTCAATTTTATTTGTTTTTACTATTCTATTTTCTATGTCATGTCACAGTCAAGTTCTAAAACTAACGTATAGTCTTCCACCATTCTGTAAATGCATTGGGGATATAGGAGGGCTATGAACTTTCAGAGCCGTAGCTTCTGCCAACACACCCAAAGTCTTGCAACTTGAAATTATTATTATAATTAAACTCTTGTTTTTAAACAACCTGTTGTCATTTGTAACTATTTTACAGAGTGCAGTTTACAAGGGAGACTATTCAGCTACACACCCAACAGTACAAATGTTCTGGGAGACATTTCACGAATTCCCTTTGGAAAAGAAGAAGAAATTTCTTCGTAAGTATTTATGTAGAACCATAACTATTTTCCTTAGCTGCGACTCAGTTCAGACTAGTGACTCTCTCAGTTGAGGCTTGGTAGTATAACACAGAAAATAGATTTCTACCATATGATGGGAAATTCTTATAGCCTAACTGAAGAACATATAGGAGAAGTTCTTATATAAATCTAATCTCCTGCTCCTCCCTCCATGTAGAAACCTAGCAATAAGGAACTTTTGAGACAGCTGGTTTTCTTCTTGCTTTTTTTTTTTTTTTTTTTTTGTTTTTTTTTTTTTTTTTTTTTGTTTTTTTTTTTTTTTTTTTTTGTTTTTTTTTTTTTTTTTTTTTGTTTTTTTTTTTTTTTTTTTTTGTTTTTTTTTTTTTTTTTTTTTGTTTTTTTTTTTTTTTTTTTTTAATGCTGGAGTATTTTGACAGAGAGCAGATGCTCAGACTTACAGGAATGGCATAATTTTTGAAGGTCCTTGTCACGAGATTTTGTTGGTTGGGAAGATCAGTCTGTGGAAGAGAGGGATTAACAGGAATGGCAAAAGATAAAGCTGGCCCAAACATAAATAGGAGGATGCCAGCGTTGTCTGGACCTTTTTGGCAATGGCTGACGTCTTTTGGGAGTTCAGGATGAGATTGCTAGCCACCAAAGGCTAGGTGGTAATTGTGGATGGACATGCTTTGCACAGTTCATTTTAATAGGAAGTAGATTTAATGAGGCAATGGGAAAACTCTAGGTAAAAATAATGAACAGGCACGGGGGCAACCTGTGATATGAGTGAATCAAGGAGCAGTTTGTCCTCTTTATAGACCTTGGAAGCCTAGGCTAATTAGCAGGATCAAGAAGGTCAGTGTCTGGTTTCTCCACTCAACAGACCATCATTATTGCAGGAAGGGCTGCTCATTGCCTGGGGAGCAGAAAGAGGACTTTGAATAGGGGCAGTGGGGACAGTGCTGGTTTTCTGCAAGTTGGAGCAGTGGTGTTTTGGTGATGACTTTCTGACATGCTTTTTCTGCATGTGTCTCTTCTATGCCAGTGTTCCTGACTGGCAGCGACCGTATCCCCATCTATGGCATGTCCAGTTTACGCATCATCATTCAGTCCACCTCCAGCGGTGAGCACTACCTGCCGGTGGCCCACACCTGCTACAATCTCCTTGACCTACCCAAGTACAGCAGCAAAGAAACCCTGAGCACACGACTTACTCAAGCCATTGACCACTACGAGGGTTTCAGCTTGGCCTGAGGGCAAGCCAACCCCAACAGAGACAATTCTGAATTGAAAGAAAATCTTGTCTTGTTCTTCCTTTTGTAAGGAAACAGGACAAGTTGCTCAGGGAAGCCTGGGAGGGGGGAAGGGAGGTGCATAGGAAAACGGATGCTCACAAAGGTCTATCAATGTTTCTCGGGGTTTCAATATAAATGTTTTTGACCTATCCAGCAAAATCTGTTGAAACTTATTTTATGCTTATTGGATGACCTGTCTTGGTTTAAAATGGCCTCTCTCTGCTTCTCCGAAGCCTGTTGAACTACCTTTATATTTCTGAGATATCTCCATCTTTTTCAAAAATAGACTCTGCCAACTGTGAATTCCTTTCCATTTTCTTCCCCATCAGCCCAGAACTGCCCTCTTTTGCTAATAGATCAGGTTTCTCAGCTCCAGGGATAATTTCTTTATGCCTTGAAGGCACCAAGCTTGGTTCTGGAAGAGTGGTGAGGGAAGGAAATGAAAAGCTTACATGTTTTCCCCCTTTACATAATTTTCCCCATTTCATATTGTTTGCAGAAAATGATTGATGGCACAAATCTTCTTAGCCTTTTCTTTGACCAGAAGAGCCTCTTCTGTAGCAGGTTGGGAGTTGGAAGGCAGCAGAGGTCATGTAAAATTGGATTACAGGACTTGAATACTTTATTTTTGTGTTAATTGTTCAGAGAAGAATTTGTGTTTCAATGCAGTATTTTTCATTTTCTTTTCCCTCCAGGGATGGGAATTTCACAGCATAGCCCATGTTTTCTTCCCACCCCACCAGGTGCAATGTGTTTCTTGCAGACTCCTACTGAACGTCCCTTCACCATACTGCCTGTCTTATCAATGGAAGATGCATTATTTTTTGGAACAGGCCTTCTCTGCCGCCACTGAGGTCCAGGGCCAGAGTACAGTGAGGTGAATGGAAGAAAGCTGATTAGCAATTAGCAAATCGCTCCCCCCCCCATTTATTATAAAAGTCATGGTGAATATTCCTCCCTGCCAGATAATTGTATCATATGGTGGCCCAAGTCCAGTTAAAGTTGGTAATGACTGAGTCCCATGGAAAATAATGGAATTAGTTCATTTGGGACTGAAGGGGGTAAAGGCTAATTGCAATCCTGGTCCAGCTCAGCCATGAAAAGTTTTGTTTTGTTTTTTCAGTCAGCCAAGCCAGGTGGATTTTAGTCGTAATTTAATTTTGGTTGGTATGGAGCCACAGTACTTGTGTACCTTTTAATTCAACCATGTTTTGCACTTCCCTGATGAAAAGCTTTAAAGGCATTAGGGGGTCACTTTGCTGTTTGGGTAGCCAATCAGCTTCTTTCTACTGCAACTTTAAAAGAACTTTAACAAATGCTTATTTTGTATGTGTGTGTACATAGCTCAATATTATGCAATAAATGGAATGTTTCCTTCAGACTTTATATTAGTTTCGTGATGCTTCAGGGAGCAAATAAATTGTCATTGCTACTAACAGGTGTTAAAAATAGAATTAACAGTGATGCGTTCAGCTGCTTTTCTACCAGCACTGATAAGTGCCAGGAGCAATGAAGATGGGATCTATGAGGGAAAGTTTTTTTACACCCTGTTCTTTGACTTTCAGATTTTTTTGTTTTTTGTTTTAAAAACCTCTGAGGCAATGGAAAACCTCAGACTTTCTATACACAGGTTACTTGGTAAGGACACTGTTTTGCTGACCTTCAGGTGTCGGATTTCAGAAAATCCAAAGCCCAGGCCAGATTCTACAACTCCAGGCATACTTGCAGCTAACTGTCCACCTAATTGTTGCTCCTATGTTTCTGCTTTCTGCCCTCTCTACCAGTATAATGGACTGCTGGAAGAGTAACTGAGGTGGTTGAACTGGTCTCAGGTTGCAATCATTGGGCCAGTCTTCCTCCATCTGCTGGCTGGGAATTTTGGAAGTTAAAATCCAATGTAAGTGGAGAGAATCAGGTTGGGGAAATGACATATGCATTAGAAAGGCTCTCTGTACTTTAACATGGTGGCATTTTTGGGGGGCAGAAATAGATAAATACCCATTTTGGCAGAAAGGGACATCACATGGTTTCTAGTCTCTTTCCAAGGCTGATTCAGCTTGACTAATCCCTGAGTGACATGCAAGTGGCCGACATTATTAAGACAAGTTCCAGTGTAGGCTGACCTCTCTTCCCCTGTTGAGTACCAGTGCTGAGAAGCACAGTATAATCCCAACAAACACTCTTACATTTTCCCGTAATACCTCAAAGCTTTCATTTCTGGCAGGATTTAGTTTTGGAAACACAATTGGCATTTGTTGGATTGTTGCTACTAAGCTTCTCTGGGATAGGAAAGACCCATATAAATTTTGATGGCCTGTGCGGGATTATATCAGAGATCAGCAACCCAACTGAAAGTCAACAAGAATGTGCAATCATGAAAAACCAAGGCACTATGCAGTAACATCACTTCCAGGCATATTTTTCTATCCCAGCAGAGCAGAACACACCACATGCTCTTAGAGTCACCCACTGCGTGTGCAAAAAAGTGCAGGAAGATTCTTTTCAGCATGGTTGCCAGTATGTTGAATTGCCTTGCAGCTGGGAATGGACTTACCTCATTAAAGTAAACATCTTCAAATGGTGGGATTGAAAACACCCAGACATTTAAGCACATATGTAGAGAAGGAAGGTGAGAGTAATACAGCAATCCCTGCTACGTGACCTTGATTATCTGCTTTAATCTATTTTTGTGGTTAGCTTCAAAGGGAGGACAGCTTTCGCTACAAAATGACAATGACAACTCAAAAGTAAAGCATATCCTTGTATGATTAAGCCTCCGAGTATGCAAAACTATGCTGTAAGGCAGGTTTATATGATTTATAGTTGACATTGGCCAATTGTGGAAAGCTACGCAGGATCAAGCTCTGGTTACTGCCTGGATGGAAGGCTATCAGAAAATCGGGCTGTAAGCTACCATGGGAATTTGGAAAAACTTTCAGAAAGGAAGCAGCGTCAAGCCTTTCAATTCTGTTGCCAAAATAATTAATTAATAATTAAAACTAATTGTCCATGAAGTCACCGTAAGCTGAGTTTGACTTGAAGGAGACATTACCTTTTTATAAAGAAAGACTTTATAATTGATTACTTTAGCACAGGGATGGACTTCTGTCTGGCACAAAAGACACATACTGGTCACCATATAAGTTTGGCCATGCATATGACTAAGACAAGGGAAAACATTTTAAGACCCCTTCCCCTCCATTTTAAGAGACACTGATTTTACTCCAACACCTCCCCCCAATTCCTCTTTCCCCACCTTATTCAGTTTTCAGCCTTAAGACTAGGTCTAGGGAAGGGGCAAGCATGTAGTAGCAGGTTGACACCCTTTGCTACTCTCCACCCAGACTTCTGATGGCAAATTGAAGATCTTAACGGATAGTCTCAGCAGGATGGCAATAGGCTTCAGGGCAAGGAGGGGCAGTATTGGAATTTAAGTGGGAGCCCTGCATATACTGATTAAGACAAGCTCTGTGATAATTGGAAGTTGTCAGAAGTTTTTTAGATTAAAGGAAGAAACTGCTTGCCAGCTGTAGCTCTTAGATATGAGGCTCAATCTGTAACTCATGTCTCAAAAGCATGATGCACCTGTTAACAATTGAAAAGCAGCATTACATAAAATGGACTGTTTAAAACTAATACAGAAACTTGGGAAATGCTAAACTCCCCCAGATCCAACTCCAAGAACGTGTTTAAAGATGGTAGTTTCTACGATGCCATTGCAATTTCCCTGACTGTAAGTTAGGTCATGGGACAGGCACCACAGTGGCATGATAATGTATGCCTTAGTTCTTAAAGAACAGATGAGATTGGGACATGACCTCCCATGGAAACCAGCAGAAATGTAGTTGGGATATTAGTGTTTTAATTTATTTATTCCGTTTGCTGCAAATCCTTCAGAACCCTCAGTGGCTTACAAGGAACAGGACATGCACAATGAAAAATGTAAAGTCCACAGTAATAATTCCAAACCAATCCCACCCACCTCAACCAATAACAAAAGTAGAAACTAGCTTAAATAGAAAACTAACATTGTTAATATAGTGGCTACAATTATTCTTCAAAGGCCCTTGAGTTTCCAAAAGGCTATTACCAAAGGGGCCAACTTCACTTTAACGGGGAATTTACTCCACAGTGTTGGTGCCAATGGAATAACAGTATGTTCTGTGATCAGTTCACCTCATCTCACCACAACAGACACTGCTAGCATTTTCTTTCAGGAATCTCATCTTGAAAAGGTTGATGTTGGTTGGAGCAGGCAGTCCTGAAGACACCTTGGTGTCAAGCCATACAGGCCATACCAAAATGGACACTTAAATTGCATCCAAAAACCTATTGGAAACACAATTCAGGAGCTGCAAAATGGCTGAACTTATTCAAAGTAATGAGTGCTGACCAATAAGTGGACTGCTGGAGTTTTAACCAACTGTAGTTTCTGGGATAGCCTTCAAAGGCATTCCCACATAGAAATCCAGCCAGGTGGTGATCTAGATATGATTCACTGCAGCTGAATGCTCCAGCTTCAGTTAAGACTATATCTGGCACCATAACCTTGCTGACTATGGCCTCCACCTGCACATACAGCAATCATTGTGACTCCAAGAGGAACCCATCATGGACTTGCTTCCTAAATGCAGCACAACCTTCTTGGGAGAGATCTCTAGAGAATAGTACTGAACAAGCAGAAACTCTGTTTTGCTTTAGTTACTGTAGCTTGTTTTGTCCAATCCAGACTCAAATAGATACTTGGACAAGACTTCAGCAGCTGAGCATCATCAGCCTATTGATGGGATTATATTCTTGGTGGGCTCTCCCAGTGACTTAGTGTAAATGTTAAACAGCAAGGGGAGAGGACCGTTCCCTATAGCAACCCAAACTGGAGCAATCTTTCCTCCAGATAATTTGTTTTCCCTGCATATTTATCAACAGCAGCTTGAGCCCAAAGATCCCAGGACCTAGAATTGGGACTGCTGGAGCCAGAAGTGGATATTGGCAGCAGATGGTCGACTGCCCTTTGTAATGGCAACCATGGTGACTCCCCCATTGGGAATTTGATGGAGAAGTGAACATATTGTAGCGACTCTAAACTATGAACAGACTGATACAGGAAGAGGGTTATAAATTCCTTGAAAATTACTAGCAACACCATGACATTGTTAGCAAGGACTTACTGTATAGAGACATGAAGTCAAAAATAGTTTATTTCTTTGTTCCATACAAAATAGCATCATGTACGAAAATGCACACATAATTTTGTCAATCATTTACATTTTTAAAAAGATGCAGTGTATTAAACGAATTTTTCTGTCTTTGATGTAAACATAGAACTGGGTCCATAAGGTTTCATCAGGGGCATAAAGCAAACGATCATTCAGCAAGAAATGTATTGTTATATCTGAAACCACAGATGAATTTTGACACAGGAATTTTCTACAACTGAATAGCACGGTTGAGAATTATTGGCTTTAACTTTTCTGTTGTAATCAAGGCTGTTTCTATATCAAAAATAAAAAGGCACACACCCTAGGGAATCTCTTTGGTACTTGGCCCATCAAAATGACTGGGACCTGCACAGAGTAATGCTATTCCCTCTTCTCAACAGAGTCCATACCCTGGATTCTGCTCAAAATAGAATTAGACCTTTCAATATACATAGACAGACTAGAGATGAAGTATCAAAGCATGCAGGCATGCTTACAGATGGTTGAAGAGTCAAAAAAGATAATTTCAAAAATGTTTTTCAGTCACTGTTGAACACCTAAGCAATACTATAGAGCTGTTCCAGAGATGGAAAAGAACTTGAGGTCTAATTTCTTATAAGAAAGAGACTGAATGTACCCCTTTATACTGGAGTTTTAAGGATGTTTATGAACTTCTCCTGTATTAGCTCCTTTGCCATGGCAAAATTTCTGACAACCTGTAGTCTTTGCAGGATAACTACTAATAAGATTACTTGTGAGGGATTTGCTGAGAGGATAAACTCTTGCCTTTCTTTTAAAATGGTATTAAGTGTTCTTAAAAATATTCTATGGCCCTTCAGAGCAGAAACAGAAGCTTAATTTGTTCTGGGTACAGTGGCTTCCTTTTAAAAACATGGCAGCACTCTATTGACAGAAGTAACATAGAAAGAGATGGTAGAATTCCAAGAAGGTCCCAGTATCCCTTATTCTGGAGCAGAGTGCCAGGGAGTAGAAGTAGGAATGAACAAACAGCATTTGAGAAAAAAGGGCAGATTTAGCTGCCTGGAAATTTACATCTTAGAAATGGTAATTTGGACAAAGTCCTTCTCCATACATACAAGTTTATGTTTATCTGAAAGCTTAAAAATAGGCAGGAAAATTGATGACAATAAGCATTCCTTTTCATTAAGCACAATCTTTTTTTTTTAAAAGGCGTCCTTGAACACAGACATTGCTTAGTATCTATTGCTTGCCTAAACACACAATCACCATCATGTCTCTTTAGCCACAAAAATAGGTCCATGAATCAGAAATGTCATCAAAGCAAGCAGCAAAGTAATCTGATGTAAAGTCAGCCTTGAGAACTTTTGTATGCACTACAGATATATCATGAAAGTGCTGGGAAAGCGACCTTTGGCTTCTGAAGAGTATATATCTTCCTGGATAGGATAGGCTTATTAAGTTCTGTTGAGATATAATTTTTCTTGCTTTATAATTGATGGAGAGAAATTAGGTTCAGATCACAATCCCACTCTCCATCTGCTTCTCATCATAAAGAGAACTGACTAATGGAATCATGATATCCTACTGCATTTTCCCAACTGAAGGCTCTTCACAGGATCCCCATTCTCAACTAAGTATTATTTATTAAATTTATTATGCCATCATTTTGGTCACTCCTTTCTCCCAGTAGCAAGGGGAATGTGGAAAGGAGTACTAAAACCTCAGAAACATGCCAGAAATACTCATTATCCATTTGCTCATTGCATGTATGTAAATGGAAAACTGATTTATATTCTGGTGGTAAAATGATAATCTGCCTCTTGCCAACCTATCGGAAAGTCCAGCTGCAAACTTCTAATTCAGATAGACTTTGCCACTTGAGCTTTTAATTACAGACAAGCTAATCTGGGCTATGGACACATGCATATCGTAAACAAATTAAACCTCAAAGCTTAACAATGATTAGAAGACATGCTGGTTGTTCCATGTTTATGTTAAAAAAAAAGGTGATTTGTTAAGAGTAAGCCCGTCAGCAAATTACAAATTTTTCTCTTAATTCTGAGAATCATTTCTATCTGCAAAAGTTTCATTCATTATTAATCTTAGTTTTAAAATGAAGGCTTGCATATCATTTAGCATCTTGAGACATATAAATAATTATTCAAAAGAGAAATCAAGGAACAGACACCTCGACATCATTTTCATTTATATTGTTATCACTTGCTATTTTTCAGCCAAAACCTTAATCTAGACTCTGAAAATAGGTAAAATCTCTCTCTCTGTTTTCATCTCTTTCTCGTCAACGCAAGCAGTAATTTTAGTAAGGAAAGGTCATCTTAAAAATAAAGGTATGAAAATAATTACCTGTTAGTTCTCTAATACTTATCTGAGAGCACACCCAAGTGAATTCAATGAAATATTTGGGGTTATTTGGGACTCAGTATTAGACTACAAAGAGTTTCATTTTACTCTTCATTTGAGGCCTGCCAGTGACTTTGCCTTCATAAGCAGCTTATCACGTGCCACAATGGGCTAATTGTTGAGAAAAACAAGTCTAAAGCTATCTTAAACCTACAGAGTTAGATTTTTGAATCTTTAGTTATATTGCATTAATTTGGATCCAAACTTTTCAATAATTTCTGTGGTATGGTTGAGCATTCATTTAATACATTTGTATTTGATAATTATATTTTTAACTCAGTTGATTTTCAAAGGTGGTGGAAAACATTTCTATTAAATGCTGAAAAGATATTATTCATCGTATTAAACATACTTATAAATATTTCCTAATGCTGGTGCTTGGAAAGGTGTGCATTTATTACAATACACTTTCCTATTAGCTACCGGCAAACTTTAAGGTTTTTAGACATATTTTTCCTTCCTTTAAAAATGGCATAACAGAAAAGTCAGGTAGACAAAATATTTTTTTTCCTTTATTTCAATACAGATTTGGTTATTTTTAAAAATTCTTTGTTTTCATTTTTTAAAAAAATATATGTTTCTCTCTAAAGTGCATTGTTCTACTACCTACCATTTTGCTCAAGTGATCTGAAAGTACACAGCAATGACAAAGCCACACTGAGCTGCAGCTAAACATGAACAGAAAAAAAAATGTGCAAGATCAGCACTGGATCCAGTGGATCCACTACCTATTTGGGGGTAACAAAACATTATAAGGGTATGACACAAACTGTCATTGTCATTAATTTTATTTAAAAGCCTATTGTCTAGACATTTTAATACTTTCTAGTCACAGGAAACCCTGTTACATTAAATTGGTTTGCTGAGAAATCTCTGCACATTGGCACCAAGTCTGCTGGAGAAACTTCTCAGAAGTGTTGCAGGGCACCAATGAGCTGGATTTCATTATTGTTTGACACAAATCAAGAGCGGATTGTAGAAATGCCATTATTGCAGAAGAAAATCAGATGATGATCTTCTGATTTTCAAGGAAGCTTGTCCATTATTCCTGATCTTCACATCAAGGACAAAGATGAAGAATTTAAAGAGACCCTCCCAAACACTGTCTGAAACCCACAATCAAATCAGAACACTCTGGCTACCAAGATCATCCCCACTCCCATCTTCCAACTCTTGAAGACATCCCATTAACTAAGTCCAATTTCTCCAAGGTCTGCTTCCTCAATTTTTCTTTCTCCCAGGGGAAACAGATGTAGGAATTGTGTAATAACATTTCTGAAAAACCCATTAGTAAGAAAGTGTGATTTCTTTCAAAAAAAAAGCAGCCATATTGAAAGCCAAGGCAGTCACACTTAACAGTTCTTCACCAACTGGCAATTCAACTTTCAGTTGGAGCAAGTTACAAGAACTATGTATCAACAACAACAAAACCCTGCAGTCAAATATGAGATTTTAAGAGGGAACCCCTCTCTCAGAACAGTCTCAGAACATACGCCCCTCCTATTAGAACAGACCTGATTGCTTTATTGGTCTGAAAATTACAGGCAATTATTTGGAGATTCATGAGCACTCTAACTAGTTCACCTTTCTTGCATTGATGCTCCAAAGAAGATAAAAATTGGTTTTGTTTTGTTTCTTTTTAGTCCAAGCAATCACGGGTCACCGCCTGATGAAAACAAAAGGAACTTCTTGGAGCAGAGTCTTCTCAGTGGATCAACACCCCCCTGTCTTGCCAGCCTGGATGGCAGAACAGGTCACAAGTCTGAAGAAAGATGCAGGACCCTCCCTCCTTCACACCCTCTCTTCTGCCAGCCACAGTCAGGGAGAGCCACTGAAGCCCTTTGTGGTATTAGGCTCTTGCTGAGTTCTTTGTTTTTATTTTTTTTGGCTTCATCAACTTCTTAACATTACTGGCAAATCCAGTGTAGCTTTACTACATGATCTTGGAACTTAAATCTCTTTTGCTGATGAGGACCTCCAGAAGCCTCAGCTTGGCCTTAACCTGCTTGTATTCATTATATTCTTCAGCCATAGGAACACGGTCTTCTTTCTGGACATTTCTAAAAAGCACAACCAGACAAAATATATCAGCTTCCACTATAGGATTTTCTCCTTAATGGCATATTTTACAACTTTTAGGAATTGGAAAAAATAGGAGACTGAATTTAGCATGTCCTGGTTGGGGAGGGGAGAAGGTGCTGTAGGGAGTTAAAAAAGGAAAATTGAGGTGTGCGTGTAGGCTGCAGTTTGTCCAACCCCACTTTGGTGGAAGGAAGTGGATCTTCTGGATATTAATATCCCCTATTGTATTTATAGAATGACTATTATGTCAATCCCTATCAAAAAAACTAAGGACAAGCAGAGTATGAAAAGAAGGTGGACAAGATATGTATTCCCCATACATTTGTTTGTTTGCCAGATAGAACAAACAGCCTTGCCGACTCTTTAACAAAGAAAATCCCCCACAGTGCAATTTTGAGAAGCATGTAAGTGAAGTGCTTTACATTTTAAGCCTGTAATACACTGTATTATTACATTCTGATACTGAAACTGGTGGAATTCATTAGCCCAAGATGTGGTTATAACAACTTAGTTGGATAGCTTTAAAAGAGGATTGAACTAATTTATGGAGGACAGCTCTATCAAAGGGAATTAATACTCAACGCCACCCCTCGTTTTGGGGCAGTACAGCTCTAAATGGTAGTTGTAGGGAAAAGCATGGCAGGAGAGGAGTATCTTTCTCTCCTGCATCTGAGTACTTCAGAGGCCTTTGGTTAGCCAATGAGGAACAAAAGGACCTTTACTTTAAAAATTAATACTGTGTGGTAGAGAGAAAGAACAAAGATTAATAAGCAGAACCTTAAGTTAAAAATAAGATAACATGCAACACTAATTTGTGAAGGGATGGGGGGAAGAGGTGGCAGTTACCTTCCATTTTGTCGGAAAAAATTGTCTTCAAAATCTCTCAATTTTTTTCTGATCCTCTTTTTATCTTCCCTGACTTCTTGAAGCTGTTCTACAAGTTCTGGCCTACAAAATTAAATAAAAACAGGCAGCCCAATATTAAAAAGATAAAAAAGCCCAGCAGGCATGAAAACAAAGCAGACGATACATTTCTCCCATGTATTGTGTTTATCAGAAAACAACTAAGAGTCTTGATTACTTTAAGAAATAAAATTTCTAGTCTTCCGTAGTGTACTTCTGAGAATAATGTAGCAAAGTACTTTATATTTTAAGTCTATTGTACAATTGTAATATTGTATTATTAAACTGTCATATTGAAGCGTGTGGAATTTGAGGCTTTGGTAGCACAAGCCTCAATGTCAGAATTCAACTAACTCCACAATTCAAATCGCAATTCAGAATCACAATTCAGCTAACTCAGTAAGTGCCTGTTGAGTTACCTGAACTCATTGGATTCACCAAAGTTAGTCTTAGTTGACGAAAAACAAACAATTAACTGAAGACTAAAACTAAATTAAAATCCATTTAGTTGACTTGAAATTCAATTCAATTCAATTCAATTCAATTCAATTCAATTCAATTCAATTCAATTCAAATCAGCTCAGCTCAGCTCAGCTCAGCTGTTGCAACATTGGCTTTCAGGGGAAAATGCAGGCATTCAATCTTCTTGCTGCAATGCACTGCTAAGATGTAATTAAATGTCTGCAAGAAAAACAACCAAACTCAGAGAATTCCAAGGACTCCACAGCACTGATAAGAGCCTACTCTGAATAGGAAGCAGGCTGACCTCAAGGAGTTTAACTAATTCAATGGCCACTTGTCCAAGGCATGTAACAATGTTAAATAAGTATTTCAGAGTTTTCATCGATTCTGCCCCTTGCACAAGATGTGAGGGTAGGGCCTTCCACAAGGACACTGTCCACTCCCTCTCAAGGTAAAACTGAAATGGAAGCTTTAGCTAACTGGCGAATAAATTGCAGGAATTTCATCACATTTCAGCTTTCACTGTGAACATTTAGTAACATCTTGGCCAAACTAAAAAAAAAAAAAATCTATACCCAGAACACAAAGTTGATTACTAGAAACCTGACATACATAGAAGCAGCATGAAGGTTTGACAGTCCCATGTCCTGGCTGCTTCTTGAAGGAATCCTATCGTCCACTGGAGAAATGAAGCCATCAGCATCATCTTCTAGTTGGTCCAAAAAACTTCTTACACCAAAGTCAGATTTTATTGTGACTGTGAAATCTGGTTTCACACTGCTGTCATCCTCAGATCCACCCTCTTCCTCCTGTGGAGAGATTTTGATTTCAATGGTTATTAGCCTCCAATATGGAAACATTGTGAAAATAGTTAGCATTAAAAAAAAAATAGACAGACCAAATACTTTCAAGCTTAACATAGGAAAGACTAGACTATGTGTCACGGTTACCCTGTGAATGCTTCTTTAGCTTGCTTTCTGAATAGCCTAGACCAGGGTTCCTCAACCTCAGCAACTTTAAGACGGGTGGACTTCAACTCCCAGAATTCCCCAGCCAGCCATGCTGCCTGGGGAATTCTGGGAGTTGAAGTCCACCCGTCTTAAAGTTGCTGAGGTTGAGGAACCCTGGGCTAGGCTATTCAGAAAGCAAGCTAAAGAAGCATTCACAGGGTATTCAGAAAGCAAGCTAAAGAAGCATTCACAGGGTTTCCCAGAATTCCCCAGCCAGCCATGCTGCCTGGGGAATTCTGGGAGTTGAAGTCCACCCGTCTTAAAGTTGCTGAGGTTGAGGAACCCTGGGCTAGGCTATTCAGAAAGCAAGCTAAAGAAGCATTCACAGGGTTTCCCAGAATTCCCCAGGCAGCATGGCTGGCTGGGGAATTCTGGGAGTTGAGTCCACACATCTTAAAGTTGCTGAGGTTGAGGAACCCTGGCCTGGACTGTCTGAACTAAGCAGAAAACTGGCACACTTAAATATACAACTAGCATGGCTAAGATTTGCAAAGAAGCTAGTAGCCCCGTATGGAGGCCATTTGGTAAGTTGTTCTGCATGATTAAACAGAGGCAAAGCTGAAGAAATGAAGCTGCAACTATATAAAAAGACCTCTCTGTCATCCAGTGCAGCACATACTGACTTGAAAAATAGTACTTGAAAAATCTTATTACTTATCCTAAAAGGATATTTTTTGTCTCTTAAAAAGCAATCTTCCCCAACTTAAGCATTCCAGAATCTGCTGGAACACCAAATTGGAAAAGGCTGAATTAAAGCATTGTTAAATGCTGATGGTTCAGCATGGCTTTTAGCCACCAGTATTAAGGGAGTTTTAACGTACATCCTTTATTAGAGGTGGAACATCCTTTAATTAACCTTTTCATTGCCAGAGGCTTCCAACGGAAGGGCAATAATGCAAAATGAGTGTAGTCATAGCACAGAGATGAGTGGAGCTAGGATTTTCGGTTGTTTTTTCCTTCCCCCAGGCTGACTGCAAAGAGGTTGAAGAATTTTTGGTTTGTGCCACCGTTTTCAGATTTTTCATCTTAAAATGCTTGAAATCACATCAATGAATTTTGGAGAGGACTGGAGGTCACACAGAAAAGGAGTCTAATGACTCTATCTGACCCACTGCTTCCTATTTAGAGTGAACTCTTACCAGTGTGCTGCAGCAGAAAAACTGTGTGCCTGACTTTTTCCCCTGAAAACTTAGCAAATGGGGGAAATGCAGCAACAGAACTTCACATTCCTAACTTCAGTCAGCTGAGGTTCTCATGTGTTGTGACTGAACTTTTAAAGGCAACGTGGGAGGCTCCCACTGTGAGCAGTTCTCTAGTTAGTGGGAGAATCCTGCTTTTCTTCTAATTGCAGTAATGCACAGTAATGTTGCCAAGACTTTTCTTCCATCCCAAAGGATGCACTAATGCTTTGTTTCCTTTTTGCCAGCTGGCATCCAGCAAGTGAAAAGACCACAGTATTTAGACAGCACCAAAAATATACCTTCAGTTTGGGTTATTTGAACCTAGTATTCATATTGTGGCCACATTTAATTGTCAAAGAATACATTTCTAGGAACTGAACAATGCTGTAAGGAAGGCAGATGTTGTCATCCCTAAATAGCATATAGGAGACCTTGAACACAGGAAGTGTTTTAATGAATTAGGATTTATTCACCTAGACTGGCATTGCTTATTCCAGTCTTCCCAATCTAGACACTCTCTAGTTCAGTGTTTCTCAACCTTGGGAACTTTAAGATGTGTGAACTTCAACTCTCAGAATTCCCCAGCCAGCCATGCTGCCTGGGGAATTCTGGGAATTGAAATCCATACATCTTCTAGTTCCTAAGGTTGAGAAACACTGCCCCAGTTGGACAGATTTTAATTCTTGTTAGTCTGCAGCCAGTATGGTCACTGTGGAAAATTCTGAAGGACCCAGATCTGGAGGACACCCATGTTGGAGAAGGATGGTCTACCTGACTAGTAGTGGCTGTCTTAGGACTTCGGTTACTTTTGTTGGTTTTAATCCTTTTCACTGAAGATAAATCTAAGACCTTGTGTGAGCAAAGCAACAATTCTGCTGCTGATCAAGCTCCTGTTACCAACTACTGAATGTTTGACATATGAGCTGGAAGGGCTTTTGTTCCTGAAACTCACAAATCTTGGTTGTTATGCCAAGTACCTCTCACATTACATTGGCTGTTTTGTATCAGGAGGCATATTGGGCTGCATCAGCCCCACCCCTCCCAAAATGGGGGAGGGAGAGGACAACAAGCCAATTTTTACTACCTTATTGCCAGATATGCCCCTTTGCAGTGGGCAAATGCAGTTAGACTAAAATGCAAAGAGGTATATTTATTTCACTGGTAGTGAGTCAACTAACAAAAGCATGAAGATTAAAAAAAAGATATTAGAACCCTCAACACACTCTTCTGGACAAAATTTACATGGGCCAAATTCAGTCTTGATTTTCATGCAGAAATTAATCTGTAACACAGATTAAAATTCTGGGGAAAAAGTAAAATTACAGCACATCACTGAATAAAATAAGTTTCCAAAGCAAACAGTATTAATTGGTCTCCAGCTTCCATAGGTGGGGTGATTCTAGAAGCTCAGGAACAAAGGTACAAAACTGTTACTAAGTTGTAAAAGCAGTAATCAGAATGTGGACAAACCAAGGGAGACAAAACCAGTTACTGATTTTGTTTCCTGGAAACATGGAAATGGAGGAAGAGCATCATCATCACCCACAATGGAAGCGAAGAACTGATGTAAATGGAACAAATGAATTCGTGTGGGAGGGGGGTGAAGGGTCAGTTTTTGGTTTCACCTTTATCTCTTTGAAGAAGGAAGCAGTTTCTCCTTCAATTATTGGCTGTAGCAAAGGACTTCTCCGCTTGCTAGAGGGGGAACCCTGTAAATAGATATTCAAGCAGGTTATGTTACAACCCCTTCTTTTTCCATTTTATTTTCTCCCCACACCCTGCAGGACATTAATTCCCAGATCAACATCATAGCATGGTATTATTATTCTAGGCCATTCAACGCAGAACAGAAAATGTTCTCCCATCGTGCTCTTCATGTGTTATACCATAGAAAGCCATTCCTACAGTACACAACCATCTCATGGCAAAATGACACAGACAAGTAAACAAGCTTAAGTTTGGAGGCTCGGATGCCGCAGGAGCTCCAAGGATTCCCAGGGACTTCTCTAACAATAGGGCCTCTTTCTAATGGAACAGCATGGGGATGTTAAACAAGAGGAAAATGCAAATGGTTAAAGTGGGATTGCAAACTAAATAGGAGCTAGCGGTGTAACATGGCAGCAAAAAAGAAAAATGCAATTTTAAAGTGCATCCAAAGATATGTAATTTCCTAACGACAGGAAGCAATCATTCTCTTCTATTTCGCTTTGCTAAAAATTGAGTTCTGTTACCAGTTCTGAGAAGCTGATGTTCAAGGCTCCAAGAAATTGAAACAGGTTCAGAGAAGGGTAACAAAAATGTTCAGGGCACTATAAACAAAGATTTATGAAAAGAGATTGAAGCAGCTGGCTTCTTTAGCCTTGAGTAGATATGGAAGGAGGATAGGAATTCTTCAAATACCTGAAAGGATGTCACACAGACCTTTTTTTTTTTCATTTCAGAGTGCAGGATCCCAAACAATGGATTTAAATTACAGGAAAGGAGATTCCAGTTGAAGCTTTAAAAAGCTTTCTAAAGTAAGAATAGTTTAATAGTAGAACCAATTACCAGAGGAGTGGTGGAGGCTAGACAGCCAACTGTCTGGAATCCTTTAATTTGGGTTCTTGCATTGGACAGAGGTTGTACTCAGGAACCTAAATGGGCCCTTCTAATTCTATGATTCTAGGCTGAGGAATTCATCCTAGATTTTCCTATCTCTCATTTTTAAATGTTTCTAATGAAATCAACAATAAATTGAAATCCAGCACATTGCAAAGCAAAGGCCCTTCCTTCAGCATATGCTGTAGTTCTTAGAGGCATTCTAAGGAAAAACAATGTGTTGTTTTGGGGAAACTTTATTTGGAAGTATTCTCTCCTGCCCAGGAAAAAAAACAAAAAAAATAGAGACAAGAATTGATGGTGGGGAGCAATCTTACTAGTTTGCTCTATGGAAAGAGATCTTGACATCCCTTCTGGCACTCTTTTTATGCTTTCAAAATTCCAAATGTGCCCCCAGCTTACAGTGCTGGGGATTTCTGTCCTAGATATTGAGAATATTAAAATAGAGCTTTAAGATTTTTCCCAATTAGGAACTTTCAGGTCCTTAAGACCTTGCAAAAATGAATGGAACTGTAGAATGCAATGGGACATGCAGGATAGACATCTTCTGATATTTCAGGGCTCACATGTAGAAGAAACCTGGGCTTGCCATAATACGGGGAACAACCCTGAGGAAACCAGATCTCATCCCATCCAGTCACTAGAACAGAATCCTTATTGGGAAATGCTGCTGCCAAGACTGACCTGAACTAACTGCCAGGAGACCTGTATTTCTTTTCACATTTTGTGTTGGAGACAGTATAGATATATTTATCTGGCTGTTACTACACAGGGGATATGGATTGCAAGCAGCAAAGTGGTCAGCACAGTTGACGTGTTCTTTCTTGCCCTTCTCACTAAGAAAATTCAAGTGGAATAGTCAAAACATTAGGTTCACACTCACAATAATGGGAATACAGTTTGCCCTTGAGAGGATCTGTTTCACCAAGCGGTATCTGTCATAGAGGGGTTTCATCGTTTGCCGTTCATGTTTTGTTACCTGAAAAGAAGAAAATCGCTTGAATGTTGATGCTGGTGGTAGGTTTTGCTAAGGCTATCATATCTGGGCTGCAAAAGTCTTGGAAGTTGTCAGATTTCAGCAAAGAGAACTCGTTACATCTAGTGATCATCCACATTTTTGCAGCATGGACTCTGTTTTCTATTGAATCTCTTGTGAAAAAGAAGGATAACCTTCCTCCTACTATCCCCTTATGAAGGTGGGGCTGGGCACAGGTGCTACTGACAAGGAATGAAATTCTACAACACAAACATCATGGCACTGGTAATAGCTCTTAGGGCCCTCTCTTCCCTATTATTTCACCAGACCCCTTAACCTCTACTGTCTGGGTATGTAATTCTTTGTCCCAACCCTCACAAATTAGTCCATACTACCCTATCAAGAAAAGTAAGATCTACATATGCATGATATCCAAAGTGGAATTTACTCTATGTATCAAAAAACTGCAACAATATAGATTGTTATTGTCAGCCTTACCAGGTAGATCAGACAGGAAACACAACCAGATAAGCTAATTCTACTGTAAAGCTACATTAACAGAGTCTTGGAATTCAGAAAGAACAAATTTCCGTCTCCTTTACAGCCCAAGAACTAGGGAGGGTCCATTCTGAGCTTCTTTCTCGACCCATTATGCAGCTGTGGGTTATGCCCTCTCTTATCTGACTGTTCACCTAGGCAGCATCTCTTCACCCCATCTCCCAAGGTCTTTCCCACATACCATTATAGTTATACCTTAAATTCAGGTATTTATTATCATCATCATAATTGTCAGTTAAAATGGCAACTTTTATCATTCAGATCTGCAGTTTTAAACTGTTTAATTTTTATCTAGCGCTCCCTTAAAACAGAAACACCTTGTTATCTCTCATGGTTCAAGTTCAAGGCCTGATCCTGACTCCCTTTTTATCTAAATGCTTTGCAGTGATTACCTTTATCACTTTTATCATCAACTTAAAAACCAGGTTTGTCAATCAAGATAAAGGAGACATATCCAGTTATTTGGAACCACTTATTTCTCAATACTGGGGGAATTAACAGCAATAATTATATAGTTTCCTTTAGCAGGGACTGTGAATCACTATTTCCAAGAAAGAACAAAACATTAATACATAAATAAACTGGATAGCACATACTTCAGACACAACAGAAGTGTAAATGAAAACAAAAATAAAACAGGTAAAAAAGGCTAATTTGAATGGTGAATGGAAAGTAAAAGTCACTGTTGTCTAGAAAACAACCACTAATGAAGTTCTGTTCACCTCCCCAAATGGGTTTCTTTGCATGCCAAATCAGTGGTACAATCCTAGATGAAATAAATATAAAATCTTAAGAAGGAAGGTAGGTGAATATGCTATGTGGATATATAATTTACTTCCAAAGCATATGGTATTAAGTGGATCTCAGTGTTCTCAGTTTTAATCAAGAGTTTATTCCAGAAAGGTTGAAACGCTGGCAAATAACATGCAGACCAGGAGCAGAGAGAACAGAAGGCCAGGAACTCATAATGTAATGGTAATCTGGAAGCCTTTTTGTAAGAAAATTTAAGCAGTCTAAGTGGCATTGCAATGGCCTGGCACAATAAATGTATTTATCAAGTGGTAAATTCATACTTGGTTACATTAAATTAATTAGGAGAGGGGGTATTGTACGATAAGTGTATAAAAAATGTATGGTAAAAGTTGAGGTGCTTATAAAGTATTAGGATTTTCCATTTGTTAAACTGATTAATTGCTCCAAATTTAACTCTGTAAAAGTCAGATTACCAGTGTTTGAGTTTAAGAAATACACATGATTAAGGCATGATTACATACCTATCACATATACCTTATACATATTCTAAGGTATAATATATATAATTCTGTACCTTGATTTTAAGGTATGAAATTATACATATTAAATAGATTCACAGGCTTATAGGTTTCCAGATGAAGCTCAAATGACAAAATGTGTGCTGTCTTCATATGAATGTCATCCATGTCATCTTCCATTCATTTTGTCATGTGTGGTGTTCATTCATGTGTGCATCAGAAGAAGAAAAAGGCAGGGTAGTTGCACCATTCCTTTGACTGGTAGTTCTTAGGGGCGCTTCTTTTGGAAGTATTCATAAGAGCCACACAATCATTTTTATAATAAGCCAAAACATCTTCTAAACAGAAAAACACCCAAAAGGGGGATAAGTATTTCATTGCATTTTGGAGACACCATTATTGTGTGAAGTTTGGATTCATAGGCAACAAGATGCTGCAAAGCACACAGGGGTGTGAACAAAGCCCCTGTTTGTAATTTCTTAAAGGAGCTGCATCTTGTCCTGGAGAAGATGCAGCTGCTTTAAGAAGTTGCAAACAGGGACTATGTTCATGCACCTGTGTACTCTGAAGCATCTCTGTGCCTTCAAATATGAAGCACTACACAGCACTATTAACTGTGTCACACACAGAGACACAGACACATCATCAGGAAGTCACGAGAAAACACTTGCAACAATTGCAGAGAGAGACAGGTCTCCACTCCATGGCCACAGAAGAAGTTGGCAACTAAAGATGGATAAACAGGGATTACAGAATAATATCTAGCCAGTCGTCATCATCTCTGTCTTGCTGCTTTTCCGCATACATTTTAACACATTTCTCACATTTACCAGCTGGACAGCTGCACTCATCTAAATACTGAGCCTGCTTGATACAAAAATTACTGTACTTACTGGTCTTCCATGGATGCTTTCATAATACAGGAGGGCTTTCTGAAGGGCCACTTTCTCTGCTGCTATGTCATCTCGAGTCATATCCTGGGTATGAGAAGCAAAGAAAAAAGGGTGAGGAACAGCATGTATACAGTATGTGGCTCGTGCTGCATTTCCCCATCCTGGTGTTCTTTATTTGCTAATTGTTGGCTATCTTGAGCCTGTTTTAAATTGTTCGTTTATCTCTGCACATTGCCTAGAGTTGCTTCTCCCATTGAGGCAGCTAATAAATCAAATGCAGTTAATCAATGTATTGTTCAATAGGCCTGGAATTCTGCCTGGATTGGTTTTATTGGTGGAATTTATTATTATTTTTTAGGTCTAAGGATGCGAACAAAGTTTTTCAGAAAGTGTGGCCTCTTGGCTAGGACATTCATGAAGCAGACCAAGAAAAGGGTTCATTGGGTGGGTCAGTGATAAGAAATGATAAATCTCTTGTAAGAATATTTTAGCTGTTCTGAAAGAAACAATATGTGAGGATGGCCCTGAGACTTGGACTTGCAAGATGCTGCCTTGCTAATTCTCCTTGATATATTGGCAGTTTCCTACACTACTAGATTTTGATTGCTTCCTTGAGAGATGTCTGCTTTTAGAGTGGGAGCCACTTTAATAATATTAATGTTGGATGGTTGATTCCAGAAGGAGAGGTTGAGGAACTACCGCTCAAACTGAGATACAAACTTTAGAATGCTGCAATGTCAAGTAATGAATTGGGGTTTGGCAAGAGAAGTGCATAAAAGTCAATAAACAAGGCTTAATAACTCATGAGATGTTTTGGTCTCTTTTGCTCTGGATTGTGATATTGTGATGTTCACGTTTTCCAGAAGGACCACGCTCCCTTTGAAAAACCAGTTCCGGATCTCCAGTTATTTAGCTTTAATGGTCTCACTGGCATGAAACGCCTTCCATTAGCTTAGACGGGTGGATGATCCACAACATCGACTGAGTAGAAAATCAGTTATCCATTTATTTATTTAATCAATGTATATTGCTGCCCATCTCACATATGTGACTTGGGATGGCTTACCATAAAAATAGATAAAACTCATATGCTACAAAAAATGAAAACACACAATAGCTGGGAATCATAGCAACCAAAACTTCTGCATAGATTACTGCATGTAGACCTGTCTTTGAAGACCACTTCTAAAACTAAGCTAGCAATTTAATAGTGCTGTTCTGGACTAACTAGGCATATCTGACAGTCCTTCAACAACTGCGCTAGCTTGAGACACATTTCTGGGAACAACAGAATGCTGATGCTTCCCCTTCCCCTTCCCCTTCATTGTTTGTGATCAGGATAGCAGAGGCTAGCCTTGAGGACATAGAGTCCTCAAGCAGCACCTTATATACTAGCCCTATTTTTTCCTCGCTGCAGGTTCAGCAAAAGGCAAGAGACTATACTAAAGATCAGAAAGAAATTTGTAAGTGCAGCAGTGACGTCAGTTTCAGCACATCAGTATTTACAATAGAGCCAAGGTCATTTTCACTGTTGGGGAAACAAAGCCCTGAGAGATCTTCCAGAGGTTATCCTCCTATCCCTAACAAAATAATTGACAGCAGTACAATCACTGACACGGTGGTTCTCAAATATTTATCGTACACTTTCCAAGTGACCTTTTACTCCATGACTTCTGCAGCAACCTTTTCAGGTTCTATTCAGCATTTCTATTAAACCTTTTACAGCTGATAAGATTTAGGCTAAAAGCTTGAGTCACAAATTATGTGCAAAACAGCACAGTCCATTCCTGGAATGGAATCCAAGTGTTCTGGGGTGGTTCTTCCATGTATCTTCTGGAGCAGAAAAAGATTCACAGTGTTCCAAATAAGACTGTTTCAAGAATAGACTTTGTCCAAAACCCCATAACAACTTCCTGTTCTTGGCAAACTGCTGCTAGTCTGGGAGAAAAATGAAACACTCGGATCGTACCAGTTTTGCGTAAGCCTATGTATTAAGATCAGTCACTTAACTTGGGGCTATTTCAAACAATTATGCAATATAAAAGAAATATCCTTCAATATCCTTTATCTACCTTCTCATACTAGAACTTTATATTACTCCATAGGGATACTGCGAACAGCCTTAATATAATTCCAAATTAGTAGGTTTTAATTTGCATCTCAATCATCTATGTATGCACATCTCTTCACAGAGGAGGTTAAAATTGTGTGTGTGTTTTTTAATTATTATTTTTTCTTTCTATTCTCTTAAATGTACCTTAATGTCCTCAGGTCGGTTTGCTTCTGTCCTTTTCTCTTCAAGTTTCTTCTGCATGGATTCCAGAGTTGCCTCCACTGAAGGCTTTGATGATTTATCAGAGACATCTTGTTTCTCTTCCTCCTTCTCCAGCCGAGAGCCAAAACTTTTGGGGAGTGTATTGCTACGTTGGCGTGTCACAGGAACCAGATCCTCTTCTGACATTTTCAGTTTTGACTCTAGTTTTGGGCAAGGAAGGGAAAAGTGGATTTTTAATGATAAGCAACAGAAAGAAAACACAGATAAGTCCAAAGTCTAAACAAGGACATGTCGCCAGATTAATTCTCACCTTTTAGTTGCTTTCTAAACTTTGCAAGGTCATTTGTCCATTTCAGCACCTCTAGATTGGCTGCTTTGTCACTGTGAGAGGGCTGCCACAGAAGAGGAAACAAACAGGGACAAAGGATTTTTGTGAATGAAGGCATTAGAAATTGAAATCAAGGCTTATAATCAATTTCTTTTATTCATGCCAGCAGAAATTGGGTAATTTCCAAAAACTTTCTGCCCATCTAGTGGTTTTTTTTTTTAAATATAACAAAGAAGTTCTTGGCTTTTCTGAGTGACATTTTAAGGGTATATAATAGTTTTTAAAAAATGAAGGACAGTTCATTGCTTCATGCACTCCCCTAAAACCTACTGTAAATCTAAAATGAATAGGTCTATTGCACATGAATGTAGATTGAATTAGCATCTATCGCACATAAAATTTCTAAGTCACCTGAAGAGATTAACAGCTTGATCAAAATACATCTTATACTTAGATACACATTATTTGCTCAGCTTAGTGAGTTTTTTTCCCCAATGGGGTAAGAAAAGATAGCAAATTAATAATAAAAAACTCGTCAGTCATTTCCTCTGCTAGATTATCAGCTTAATGAATTTGCTGTTTAGCAATTCAACTGCTAGCGATGTTCAGGTAAATCACATTTGGGTAACTGGGAAAGAAATGTAAATCTGAAAAATTCTGTTTGATTGAAGGAAAAGTTTCCATCAGCTTACCCTATACTTTCTCTCCTCCTCAAATTTTTCTTCAAACCGCCTGATCTTTTTCTTCAGTCCTTGAATCCTGCGAGTCAACTGTGCTGGTGTCAAATCTTCACTGTCATCTTCATAAGATCCCAAAGAAGAACTTCTTCGCCTGTAATGAAAGTTACCGTTCAATTAATTTGTGCACATACATTGATATGAAAAGAGGATCCCCTGAAAAGAGGATTCCCAGAAAAAGTAAATTGCTCTCATATTCTCCTTTACATGGGAGCATATTTTTTTCAGCTCTCCAGCTTCGTCTGCTTTGACTGGAGAAATCTCCCAGTCTTAGGAAGACAACTCCCTCCACATCTCCTCCACAATTCTTTAATTGGAAATACAAAGGGTATTTCCAAATTTCCCCTCAATTCTTTAATTGGAAATACAAAGGGTATTTCCAAAGCATTTCAAAACAAGTCACTGCTTGCATGTAAATGAACAATGAAAAAATATTTTAATAATGACTGAATAGAAAACCAAAGGATGAAAGGATGAGCATCAAGACACAAATCAGAACATAGAACCAATGCTGTTTATTGGGTAGAAGCTGGATGTTTGATTCCAAATGGCCTGTCTTTGCCTCCCTGACCTCCTATGGTATCACTGTACTGTTACATTCTGTTCTGTGCCTGTAAAACTGAGACTAAGTGTGAGAGGGTATGGTAACAAAAAGTCAAGATGGCGGCTGTAGTGGTATGACTGAAACTCATCAGGAAACCTTTTCTAACTTTTATTAAATAATTCAGTAATTCATCCTCCAAGATCTAATATATTTTGCAAGGCTACCAACTATATTCTTTGCCTTTAAAACCTAGCTTTCATGGACAGCAGCATAAAATGCTATAATCTTGAAATGAGATACAATATTCCATGACGGTGGAGAAATAATTTGAATCCTCATCACCTGCAAAACATTCTCTGAACAAAATCCCAGCTTTTTATTTTTGCAGTTCCTCTTTTCTCCCCTGCAGGATGTAATAATTATACAATTAAACATTCCAAATTGTGCAACCACCCTTCTTTTCCTTCCACAATCTGGGATAGAGCAAGATATGAAGAAACATGGGAGTTCTTTAAAATAAAACCAACAAGAACACCCTCCCTTCTAAAACCCAGACAACTTTGAATTGAAGACTGAGTATATTCAACAGCCCCATCATGGTGAGTATCTGCTGAAAATGGAGAGGGCACGAAGGGAAAGAGTTTAGGGCTCAGTTGGAAGAAATGGGTGACTGGAATTCTGGAGCAGTTTGATAAGAAAGGAAAAGACCTACCCAAGTAATAACCTTGCTGAATGCTGCAGCCAACCTACCTCATGAACGAATGAGAATTGGGTGGGGAAGGAGGCACTTCTGTGTCATCCAAGTACTGCTGACTTTGCCCATAGCTATAAAAGCGAGGGGACAGCATTGGGTCACTATTCTCATCCAAAAGCTGCTGAATGAGGCGACCGGCCTGAGGGGAGAGGCGAGCTTCATCAGAATCTAAGCCATCACGCTGCCAGGAGGAAAAGGCAGGGACAGGTTCTGGAAAATAAAGCAGGAGGAACAACAATTGGGAGCTTGGTTTACAATGGTTTTTAGTTTGACTGTAACTACTCTATGACTCTAAATCTAATTCTCTGGCTACTGCACATGGTTAAAAACTGTAACACTGTAGAAATCATCATAATTAAAATTCAGCACGCAAACTGATGTAACATAATGAAAAACAAAAAACAGCACAAAAGACAATGTAAAACAAGTAATCAAGAACTCCAACTACAGTATATTATAGGGAGTGAAGAACATGGAAAAATATTCATTGACTTCCATAATACCAGCAATTCTAAGATAACTCTTCCATCTGAGCCATAAATTACTTGGAGAAAAGTTAAAGTCTTCCTTTCAGGCAAATATTTCTAAAGTCATACTTCTAAAATGCTTGAGAGAGCAACAGTAAGGAAGGCTTCTCGCTAAAAAGATGTGATGACAACTTTTCTAAATGAGAGTGTTCCAAAGTTGGAGGACCAGCTGTTTCTCAGAGCCATTCTCTGGATTTAGATTAAAGGAAGAGATTCTACTGATGATCTTAAGGTAAGTATACGGCAGGTATTGAATCAGTTACAAAGGTTAAACTCTGCAGAGGTCAAACCCAGTATTTTGAATTGGCCCAGAAACACATTGGAAGCAAATAAATGCAAGAAAGCTATCATAATATTAGTTCCATATTAAGCTCTTAATTTTGCATTAGTTGCAAGTTTCCAAGCCAAAAATATTATATTACTCCAATAGCCTTGTTTACTATTATCTATTAATGTAAATTGGCTGTTAATTGTTAATTCTTGATCCTTGGTAGAATTAGAAATGATTTGGTATAAGAAACAATTATGCTTTTAGGGAGAAAGTTTGAAAAATGTTATGATATACTATTATATAAAACTAATTATTTGACAAAATTTGTTTTAAAGAAGGTTGAGCAAAATCAAGGAACATTGGAAGTCAAAGAAGTGGGTCAATTGGAAGTGCTGCAAACAGACTGCAGATAGTTTGGTGGTTATGATATTTATTTCACCCCACAACCTATGTACCCTTTTGCTACATATTCAGAATTAAGAATACACCAGCTTCTAAACAGCAAAGACTAGGGAGAACTGTATTTGGCCAAAGGGAAGGCATTTTGCATGAACCATTTTTATAGCTGCAGAAATTTCTGCCCTTCAGAAGTAAAAGAATGCTTATGATCTTACAGAATATTCCCATGGGATATACTATGACTTAAGAGAGTCTGGAAGGAAATACTATTTTGGATTCTCCCACAGCATGTTCTCACCACTTTGCAATATAGTACTGCCAAATCTATTGCTTTGTAAAGCATATTCTAAAACTGAAGCCGCTTCCAAAAACCGCTATTCCAGTATTTGTTCTTCCTTTGCTTTAGTTTTCTTGCCCAACACTTTATTTAGATTTCAGATATGTACATCTCATGAGATTTGGTAATCTAGTGCAACGTTAGCTATTTATTTTTTTAAAAATCAAAATGCTTCTATTTTGGGATTCTGCATATGTCATCAGGGGACTTGTATGTCATAGTGCCTGCAGATGCTACAATGTGGACTCCTGGCTCATACGGTGCTCCTCAAAAACCCTCTGTGATGATGTAATGATCCACATAAAGGAAAAGGTTGGGAACTGCATTTTGTAAAGAAACTCAAAAACGATCATCCCTTAGTTTCTGGCTTGATACAGGAGCATAATTTATAATAATTTGTAATTATAATTATGATAATGATTTCTAATCATTGTAAGCATAAATTGTGGCAGCAAAGACCTTTGTATGAATTAAGTCCTTGGATCAGTCCACAGAAACTCCAGATAAAAAATGCCCTATATCATGGTTTGGAAAAAGGTAGACAGAAGATCTAGAGAGACAAAGAGCCCATATTTGACCATATGCGGTATAAAGCATTTTTATATTATACTTTTTAAAGAATCTACAGAAATACTAAAAGACTCCTCAAATGGTTAGGACCACTAAAGTTTTGGCCTTGTATCAGTCCTTCTATACCCTCAAAGATGGAGACCTCCCTATGCAGAGGCCCACTCATATCTTCCCAGCATGCTCTGTTTAACCCTTCTTCTTTCCATTGTGACATCATAAAATCCTATTCTACTAATGTATCTGTAACCAAGCTTTGGCTACTTTCAAATGATCAGGCAAGAGTATTTACCCACCATCAACATGCTTCCCTTTGAGATTGCTCATTTGTTCTTGTAAATTACAAGCTATAACTATTCAGATTCAACTCATCCCATTTTTATTTAACAGGTACTAGAACTTAATTTCAAACTACCATCACAAAACAATAATTAACTCAAATCTGCCATTTTGTTTAATTGACCAAATTTAAAGTACAGGCTATATGGGAGGTGAGAGAGTAGCAAAATGAGGATGGGAAGCCAGGGTGAACAACATTTTGGAACAAATTGAAAGAAGTGGTCATATCTTGTGATAATTCCCACTGTATCCCACAAGAACTCTGATTATTTACAAGTTGATAGTTTACTAAGCTGGTTTGCATGCTCCTACCAGATAAGTTGGTTTATGATTTGTGGCTCTGTGATTCTAAATAAGAATTCTGGAGGCGAATGCAAAAATTTCCCAACAAATGGGTTAAAAAAAAAAAAAAAAAAACTGCCGTAAAAGCTCTTCCTAGAGCTTTAGAAGTAGGAAAAGCATATTAAAGTGTTTAGTTCTGATCATGCAGAAGTCAGTTACCAGTCCTTACATTCCTAAACTCACTTCAAAATCACTGACTGCCAACTTTTTCTTGTAAGATTGCTGGTGTTTTGGCCTACATGTTCAGAAAAATCTAGGAATAAGTAGAAATTTCCCAGATCCATGCCATTATATCACGATAATATCGCCCCATGGGTAAAACTTTCCGAATGAAAAAATTAGCATGTCAAGGAGAAAGATTCAGCCAGGTCTGCTTTAATGCAGGGAGTTATGCTCCCCATGCCATGACAGAAGACTACTCAGGTGTCCAAATCTCTACTTACAACCTCAAATTGCCTGGTTTGAAGAAAAGTATCATTGTTTCATTTTTATGAATGGATTAAGCAACCCTAAAATACTTACTGCCAATAACCTTGTGTAGCATTTTAATAACCCATCAGGAATAGAACTGAATCAGATGGCTATCAAAATTAGGATATTAATTAAAATTTGGGAGATGCTCAACAGTTTGCCATAATAGTTATCATCTGCTCTTCCCTCTATGCTCAACTGCAAACACTTTTTTCCCAGATTTTGAGTTGGCATTCCGCAAACAAAGAACCATTGTGCCTCAAAGATTCTACAGGCCTAGTGCTTCCTCATTTGTCTCTCTCCATACATGAGGGAGAGGCAAGGCTCCTGGGGAAAGGAAGGAAATAGACAAGATTGAGGGTGAAGGAAAGATAGTGGACATCTTCCCCGACAAAGAGTCACAGCACAAGCAGGGAAGAATTTGGTCTGGATTAATTTATTCTTAAAAAGTACTTTAAAAAGTAGCGGATTTGAGTAATAGTTTATGGCTCTGAAAAAAGGATTAAATAAGTTAACGAATGGCATAAACTTCCTGTTCAAGCAGCTCATCTCCAAGTACCAGATGCTTAGTAGAGATCATTAATGATTGCTGATTCCACAAAGCTGATTCAGAGTCTGCTGGAGATATCTGTCGGTTTGTTCCATACAGATTGGATTTTGTTTTTTTTTAATCTGATCCAACAAGGTAATGTCTAGTTGCTTATTCTTATAAAATATGCCAACAAAAGTAAACCAAAGAAATCATCATTATCATTTCTTCCACTCAAACCTGACCCTGTGCTTCCAGCTATTTTATTTTTCCTTATTATATTTATGTTGTGAGGAAGCACCTTCTTCACGGGGCAAACACAGTAAGTATTTAAATAGGAATATGCGATATACGTCATTCACTAAAAACAGCTGTATAACACATTTAGAATAAAAACAACAGTAAAAAATTCCAGCTTATAGAATAAAGTTGGGGATCTATTGATTTAAAAGTGAACTAGGACATCATATTCTTTAAGTTCCATTTAACTTCAGCCAAGAGAAAATAAAATCCCATGGATGGGTATTTTGCTAGCATTGAAGCATCACAGAGAAGGCCCTGTTTCTTGAGATCACTAACCTAACAGATCTTTCTGGAAGGCACACTAGCAGTGTGCAAGCAGCAGCAGCAGCCCCACCACACCACCACCGCTACAACTTCTTAAAAAAACAAAACAAAACCAAAAAAAACAAAACAACCCCCCCCACCCCCTTATACAGTAATTCTTTTGTTTTGTCACGTGATGTTCATTTATAAGAACAAGTAACCGGAGAAAAATGGAAGGGATTTCATACCTCATGACTATAAAACAGAACAAAACAACGACAACAACAAAAACACCCTGCTGAAGAAGTTAGATTGCATGTGTTCATGCCATCTGCTATTCATGCTTATCTACTGCCGTGTAGGTGGTTATTAAAGTGTTAACTTTTGCAATCAAAATATTCCAGAAAATGTCAGTAATGACAGCGTTGAAAACTTTAGAAGCACGTGAGGCAATACAACACAAATGTATATGACTGAAAGATTTCGAGTCCACTAAGAAAACTAGGCCACTGATTACAAGTCCTCCTCTTGGCATATTTAATTTGTGAAGATCTTAAATATTACCACACAGAAATGACATCTGTGTCACAAAATGCCTTAAGGACAAAATAAACCATACCTGGCATAAATTAAAGCTAACATACAAAAGAGAGGAAAAAAGATCAAGTAGTTTGGGCTAAGTACTGATTTTACCTTTTTCAAGAATATTTACATGTACTTCCCAACTTCTGTAATGTTAGAATTCCTCAGAATGAAGGACTTGAAAAGATATTTACTTATTAGAAGACTAAAAGAGGATATGATAGCATTCCTGAAGAATTGTCATAAAAAAAGAAAGCCTTAACTTTAATCACCCCAAAATGTAGGAAAGATGGGGAAAAATGTTCTGATTTCAGCCCAGACAGCTGAAACCACAGGGAGAGAGTGCAACTTTATTCAGATTATCTTTGAAAACATAACCACCAAATGTCTCTCCTTGGAGTATTGCTAATTAGAATATGAAGGAAATATAAGGAAATAAACATGGCTGGAAGGAATATAATGAGGCATACTTTAGATATAAGGGAAGAGCATCTAATATATTATCTAACTGCAAAAATAAATTTATGTCACCTGGTATCTTCCATCATGAATACCCACAGCAGCTGATGGTGCAGGTTTGCATATTAGCTAGCATAACTGAGCCGGCTTTAAAATTCTGGACTGATACAAAAATAGCATGTAGACACAACTTGGCATCAATTCCAAAAGGCTTTGGTCCAGAATACCCCCAATACCCAAATCAAAAAACTCAATAATGAAATGTCCTTATCCATTTGAAAAAAGATGACTCTAGGGCCTCTAAAGAATCAAAATGTGAAAGATAATTGGTAGAAACGTTCTTCCAGCATTTCTAATCTTTGTTTTCAGTAGCATGACTTAAAGTGTTCTTGGCCATTTCATGTTAGTGGATGCAAACAAAACAGCCCTTTTGCTAGAAAGAAAAACACGAATACTATATTCCTTGCCTTGTAAAAATAATGCAAACAAATGAAAGTGATTCTATTCCCCTTTCCCAGAGTAGCCAATAGAAGTATGTGTGCATAGACCCAAACATATGATCAGTGTTACAACGGCTAATGCTAAACATCTCTGCCTTACCACACTGAAAAAAAGCAATCAGATCACTGGGTACCCAATGAATTTAAGATCTTTAAAAAATGGTGATGAACCCTCTTAATTAGGTAAACCACATTTTACACAGGAAGAAATTTTTAAAAATTAGGCAGTTCTGTAGGAATACAAAAATACCAACTTAAGCAAGCTTTCTTCCCTCAGACAATACAGTATTATAGTATCTGAACTTAGGTATTCTGAACAAGTATTCCCCCCCTACAGATGGACCCAGGAATTTACTGCTGTATCTTTTAGCTGGTTTGCCAGACAGGAGACCTTTAAGCAGCAAAATGTTAACAATCAACTGAAGAGGACAGTAAAGAGACAAAAATATTTCTTTTTTTCTCTGAGTTATCTTTCTGAAAGGAATACCCAACTGCATCTTTTCTAACAGAAGCTCAGTTCCTGTACTGAAACACTTCATTAATTTCTAGAGAGTAGCTTTCCCCAATCCAGTGCTCTTCAGATGTGCAACTCAACAGACTTGTGGATTGAGGAGCTGCTGTTGAAGACATCTGAGGAGTAACAGGCTGGTGAAAACTGTCATAGATCACAAAAACAAGAGGGAAAGACAGAAAGAGAAGTAAAATATGCACTCCTGCTGAAATAAGGGTTGTCTCATTCATGCCCAACAAGTAATCCTACCTTCCCAGTTGTTGCCACTACGCAAGGCTGACAGGTCCAGACGAGGCACTTCTGATACAAAGGTGTCTTCCTGGCCATCTACTTCTTGGTTCCTCTGTAATTTGACTTCAGGAATGACAGGGTGTTCCTGGATCTTCATACTTGAGCTCTGCAGCAAATCCCCCCAAAGCAAAAGCAAAAACTTTTTTGCAAAATTCAGCATAAATGGGGAGAAAATAATCACAAAAATCAGTCTTCTTCCTTTCTACAGACAAATTGAAAACGGCAGCCTTTTAATATCCAGCCTTTTTGCTCAATTCCTCCCTTCAATACTCATGGGTCACTTTCACTAGGAAAAACAAAAAGAAAACTTTTGCTCCAGAAACTTTCTTCTTGACTAAAGAAGCAGAGAAAGCAACTCAGAAGTGGCTTCCTTCCAACTGTGTAAGCTATTAGAGACAGCTAATAGTGTAGAGTTTATACTTGAACAGCTTGAAGAGACAAGGGAGCGAGAACAAAGGCTGCGTTTCCCCTTAAACCTGTGGCTGTTGAGTTTGCTGAACGCAAAAAGCAAGAATGCATCACCTAAGGGGCTGCCGTTGCTAAGGCTACAGTACGACCAAATCTCTCTTGGAAATTGACGATACTGCTGTCTTCCCTCTTCCTAGAGGAAGCTGAGTTTTCTGCCGTAGACTGTGAACAACGAAAGGTACGCAAAGGCCCTCCAGCAATCTGTGCTGCGGTGTAGATCTCGTAATGCCAGCAGAGTTAGGCTGGCTGGCTGCACGTCCCTTGGCTTCCTGTGGTTGTTTTCTAGCTGGGTGTGGGGGAAAGCAGACCTATTTATGGAGGAGCTCTGGGATATTACAAGCCGCTGTTGCGCAAACTGAAATCATAACGGGTTTTGGCATTTAATAACTGGAAGTGGTAGGGGCCTGCAAATAAGCCAGACACCAGGAATGCTTTCCATTCCATTGAATCTTCATCGCTCTCCCCCGCCCCGCCAGCCTCCACCCCTAAGCAAAAAGCCACTGAGGAGGTGATCTATAATGTATACTGGAGGAAAGAAGCAGAAGCATTTTGCTCTGTGCCCGCTCACCAGATATCTGATATGCCCTGTGTCTGGATATACTGGACTCGCTGCCCTCTGTTATTTGCTCTGTACACTTAGCCTGTCTGACTTTATGTTCTGGGCATAACAGCACACTTTTTCCTTTTGCAAAATGCAGAGAAATTTAATCCAAAGGGACTATCAGAGGAGCCTGCCTGGTGTAGGCAAACACATCAGGTTTTTACTTGTAACTTGGGGAGAAAGTGATGGGAAGAAAAAATGGCAAGAGTTAGAGACCTCTGCTGACTTCTCCACGCTTAGGAAAGGGCAGAAATGCTGGGGCAGAAACACTGTTAAATTGTTAAATTTAAATAGTTAAAACGTGAACAGCTAACCAAGGTAGGAGCAGATTTTTAACTGGGATTTGTTTCTTTAGAACAGTCAGAATCTATTTGTCCATATGAAATTCTAGGTAACTGCCTGCAGCTCTGTTTTCAGCATCTGCAGTGGGAACTGTTAAAATTAATCCACTCTGGAATTTGCCAATATGCTGAATTAAAAGGATGGTGGGAAATAAATGACACTTTCCTCTGCTGATTGTAATGCAATCAATTGTAATCAGCACTACTTTCAGATGGCTGCCAAGAAGGAAAAAAGCAAAACAAAAACCAACAAACTTTGAGTAGCACAATTCTATATATATTTATTCAGCCCCTTTGTGCTCCCTAGTCTATATATTTAAAAATGCAGCCTCATATGAAATCTAGTCCACCCATAGAATACAAATGAAGCTGCAATAAAATCTGGATTTCACTTCAGACCCATAAAACTAGTCAAGCTAAGAAGGTTGCCAGAGGAGTCCAGCCACCAGGAAAGTGACATACTGAATGCAAACAATCAAACCACAGATGTTCTAGAAATCTAAGGAAGAATAATATATTTGTACTGCAGGCTTCCTTCTGCCAAACTAGCTCCAAGAAAAGAGATGAGAGAACAGATCCCATTCTCTATCCAAACCAGCCCCATTTTCTTTATGGAAAACATACTCCAATCTCAAGCAACGCAGATCAAGTTCAAAGTCAACTTCCTCACAAACGACATGGGATTTCTTCTGTCTACACATGTTCTGATATGCATACATTGGAACAAGTCATGGTTTAACCATGATTTATTCAATAAACACAGTTGGCTGAATTCTTATAATACAATAAACAAAACGTTAAGAACAAAAGAGCCCTGCTCTGCTAGATGAAGCCAATCACCCATCTTGTCCAACGTCTGCATCACAGAAGCCCAGAAGCATAAACAGGATGAATTACCTTCCCCTATTGCTCACCAGTAACTTGTGTTTAAAGGAGGCTAACCCAGATGGAGTATTCAGTTACCAAAGCTAATAGCCATCTCTGTTGAAAACCAGTCAAACAGATAGTTATCACCACCTCTGATGACAGTGAATTACATCATATAATTATCAGTTATGCAAAAACCAAATAAACCACAGTATCTTGTATGATTCCCACCATAGTTACTGTAAGACCACCATGGGAGGGATGCCACCTATAGAAAGAAAATAAAAGAATAGAATAGGGAAGGCAATGTTTTTATTCTGCAACTGACTTTCATCATTCACAGAATCTAAAAGAGGATGTTGTCTTCCAAAAACGAATTCAGCAGGAGAAGCTGAAGCAGCTGCACAATGTTTTCTACTTGGCAGCCCTAGTAGTACACACTAACCTGTAGTATCTAGTCCTATATATGTTCACCTGGAAATCCTACTACATAGAATGAGGCTTATTTTCTAGTAAAAATGAATTGTAACCTTTATAACACACACACACTTCTCCCCTTGAAACATTCTGAATTTTTATTATTTGCATTTCTTTAAGCAAAGAATGTTCAATGATTTTGCTCAGGCAGTCCTCAGTTAACGACGGTAATTGGACCGGAATTTCCATCACTAAGCAATGTGGTCATAAAGAGAGATATAATGTGACCACATCGCTTAGTGATGACAACCCTGGCAGTCCATGTTGCTGTTGTTAAGTGAGGATCACTCTTTGTTAAGCAAGGAACTCCTTGCAACTTCCTGACTTCTACCAACCAAAGTCAGTGGGAAAGTCGGAAGGAAGTAGCTAGTCCCAGGTGGCTTGCAAGCAGACCAGCAGGCAGGTAAGTGGCTGCTGCCGGGTGGGGGAGGGGGTGCAATGGTGTGCAGGTGGCTGGCAAGGTGTGGCATGACCACAGCAGGGCTGGGGGTGGCTGCTGCCAGGTGGGGGAGACTTACCAGATCAACTTGCGACCTTCCCTGCTGGCTTCCCCATTGACTTTGTTTGTGTGAAGACGGCAGGGAAGAGCGCAAACTGTGACCATATGACTGCGGGATGCTGCAACCATCCTAAGTGTGAGCTGCTTGCCAAGTGCCAAAACTGCAGTCACGTGACCACAGAGACCCTGGGACAGGCTGGAACTTTGAGGACTGGTCGTAAAGTACCACTTGTTCAGCACTGTTACTAAAGTTAAGTCACTAAAATTGTTTATACTTGTGATGAAGGGGGAAGTCAAACATAAACGATTATGTTCTTTATATATTTCTTTTCTTTTTCTTTACTATATTCTTTTTCTATTTTTTTTTCTTTTCTGCACCTATTTTTTTTATTCTTTTCTTTTTTAGTTTGTATTAGTTTTTATCATTGTAATTGTAATCTTTAATAAAATTACTATTAAAAAACAAATATGTAGTCATTTTAAGACATATGAAGAAAATACTTGTCTCTAGTAAAGTGATGAATATGGTTTATTCTTTTTCTTCCTATTAGCCCTTCTCCATCGTTCTTTCTATCTCCTTCCACTCCTCTGCTTTTGAATTTATCCCTGTTTTGGAGAATTAATTTAAAATACTGTGGACAACTCTCCTTACACTAATACTTCTGCTGATTTCCTGTTTCCTTTATTCTACTCCTCTACCCCTTTTCTTGTCCCGTACTGCCAGCCCAATGAACTGTTACTTATGGGCAGTTTTCCAGACCCTTTTAACCATAGTGTTCCTCATTCCTTGCTGAAGAAACCCTTCTTGGAATCCTCTTGGTACTCAGGTTACCAGCCTGTCTTGTCCTTTTTTGTCTAAAGTCCTTGAGACAGCTGCCTTCTCACAATTGAGTTTGCATTTGTCTTTTAACAGTTTTCTTGATCTATATCAATCAGGATTTGGGGCAGGCCCCTTAACTGAGACAGTACTTCCATAAATTTTGAATGAGATTCTGGTGGCCAAGTCCCTGTATTTTGTTTCAACGATGGTCCTCTTGGATTTGACCACAGCACTTGACTGTCAGATTGTCTAGGTTACAGTTTTTAAGCATCATTAGTAATGAACATGACTGGTTTGAATTTCTCTGACCCTCTCGTACTTTTGCAGGATTGAATGGTGGATTTCAGTCCTGGAAATGTGTCCCTCGGAATTAGTCTTGGGTCCTATTTTGCTGACCCCTTTATATCTTTCCCTGAGTGCTCTGATTATTCTCATATTGATGATACACAAGTTTATCAGTCTTTTCTGCCCTTGTGGACAATGCATGGTCAGTGGAGATAGAATGCCTTGCTAGCACTTCCTCTTAGGTGTCCTCCCACTATCTTAAGCTGAATATGAACATGACTGAGATTGCTGTGTTTCAATCCAATCGTCCTTCTCATTCTCTACTTAATATCCTCCCATTTGCCATTGGGGCTCCTGGATTGCCCTAGTTTCCTCTGCCTGCAACTTTGGGGTCTTGATTGATGACCAGTTGACTTTGGTCCATTTTTTTTACTCTATTTGCATTCAGTGAATATAGATAGCATCCAGGGGGATTTGACAGAGGAGACTGCACTGAAATTAGTGTCTACTTTGGTTGTTTCATGCCTAGAATATTGTAATAGTCTCCTGGCAGGGGTTCCCGATTCCTTTCTCCATCCCCTGATCCTAGTGAGGAATAGTGCCATTTGGGCTATTCTGACCTTCTACATTATTCTCATGTTTCAGTACTATGGCAGGGCTCTTCCCTGGCTCACTATTTGAGCCAGATCCCAATTTAAACTACTCATGCTTGTTCTTAGATCCCTCAAGCCACAAACTCCCCAGTATC